TGAGCGATAGATACTTGGGGATGCCTACGGATGTGGGGCATGCCAAGAATGGTACGTTCAAATACTTAAGTGATCGTGTGTGGGACAAGGTAAAAGAATCGATGAGCAAGTGTTTATCAGCGGGAGGAAAAGAGGTTCTAATTAAATCAGTAGCTCAGGCCATACCAGTATATTCTATGTCTTGCTTTAAGCTACCAAGAGGTTTATGTGAGCATATAAAGTCTATTATTCGGACGTTTTGGTGGGGCTGTAAACAGGGCAAAAGGAAGCCGACTTGGGTATCGTGGGATGTGATGATGCCGACTTGGGTATCGTGGGATGTGATGATGCGGCCTAAACACTTGGGAGGATTGGGGTTCAGAGATTTAGAGTTGTTTAATCTTGCTCTTTTGGCCCGTCAAGCCTGGAGACTTTTTAATGAACCATCTACTTTGAGTGCTAGAATACTCAAAGCTAGCTACTTCCCTGAGACTACACTGTAAGAAGCTCAACTTGGTGCTCGCCCCTCTCAGATTTGGCGAGCAATAATCGAGGGAAGAGATGTGATGAAGCAAGGAATCATTAGAAGGATTGGAAACGGACAGACCACCGATATTTGGCTGGACAATTGGATACCAAAAGAACACACACCAAGGCCCATTACGTCCCTCGTGCAAGACCCGCCGAGGAAAGTGGCGGAGCTGCTACAACCATCCACCGGAGGGTGGAACGAGGACTTGGTAAGGTCTGTGTTTATTCGTTTTGATGCTGATGCTATTTTGAGAATCCCAGTGTGTACTCGCAATGTTGAGGATTTTTGGGCATGGTACCCTGATAAAAAAAGGAAGGTTCTCTGTCAGTTCGGCTTACAAATTTATGGTAAGCACAAAACTGCAGCGCGAGGAATGGCTTGAGGGCAGATCAGGATCTTCTTCAGGTGAGGAGGAGGGCAAAGCCTGGTCAGCATTATGGAAGATATCTATACCCTCGAAGATTAAATTTTTTATTTGGCGCTTGGCACGGCACTCGCTGCCTACCACGGATGTCTTACACCACAGAAATATGGCAACCCAGGACACTTGCCCTTTGTGCGGGTGTCAGGACTCATGGCGCCATGCTTTGATGTCCTGTACAATGTCAAAGTGTGTGTGGGCACTATCAGATGCAGATGTGGTGCTGGCAATGCCAGAACTAGAGGAACCAAGTGCAAAGAGGTGGCTGTTTGAGTAATACAGCAGGTTGGACCATGCAAAGTTTACATCAATGGCTGTCACACTTTGGGCTATTTGGTATGCACGTCGAAAAGTTGTGTACGAGGCAATATTTCAAGCGCCGCACCAAACTATTTCTTTTGTGAACAACTTCCTCGCTGACTTGCAAGAGATACCTAAGCCTAACAAGGTGGTTTCCATGACAGCACGGGTGGCCGAAACTAGGCGATGGCTCGCTCCGGGAACCGGATCTGTCAAAGTTAATGTGGATGAAGCAGTAGCGTGAAGCAGAAGGGGCGGAGCTGTGGCTGCACTATGTCGAGATGAGCAGGGCAACTATCTGGGGTCCTCGGCAGTGGTCTATGGAGGTGTTACTGATCCCACGATCTTGGAAACCTTTGCTTGCAGAGAGGGATTAGCTTTGGCAGAAGATCTAAATGTTCATGAGGTGGTTCTAGCTTCAGATTGTGAGGAAGTTGTCAATGACATCAATGATGGAACAAATGGGGCGAACTCAGCAATCGTACATGAAATTACAGCTCGTAGTTCTGGTTTTGCTTTCTGCAAGTTTATTTTTGAACGTAGAAACTTCAATTTTGAGGCTCATAATCTCGCAAAGTATGCATGTAATCTAGGCATAGGTAGACATGTGTGATTGGGTATTCCTCATAACCCAGCTAGTGTACCTATGAACATCTCTCTGAATTAATAAAGCTTGCGAGATCTCTAAAAAAAACGTGTTGCAGGCGTTACGCGTGTACGACTCGGAACACGTACGCGTAAAGATCGAGCAGGAGTTGTGCCGATCGACGACGTACGCCTTCTCCGCCTTCCACTCTGATCTGGTAGGGTTCGTTGCTAATCGGTCGGGGGCCGCGTCGGATACGGCTCCTACTCCTACCTCGATTCAGATATCGATCGAGCCACGCGCTACAAATATATATATCCCCGCACGACGTACGCCACAAACCACCAAAGCAAACATAAGACGAAATTGAGCGGAACCATGAGCCATCAGATCGATCTGAAGACGAGCGACTGCACCATGGCCGCCGCCGGCGACGACGACGACTGGGTGTACATCGACGGTGACCAAGAGATGACGGCTTCACCGGCGCCGGCTGTCGTATGTGCCTGCGCCCCGGCGCCTGACGATGCTGCGACGGAGGTGGTGGTTGCCGCGGACGCTGCCGGTGATGGCGCAGCGGATGACGCCGACGCCGTGGAAGACGAAGACGACTGCTCTGACTACTCCAACGGAGGCCGCCTCGAGAAAGCCTACGAGTTGGACCAAGACCTCGACCAAGTAGACGATGAGTCCGAGCGGCATGAGGAGGCCACCCCCGCACCGGCACCGGCGCCGTCAGCGCACGGCTACAACTCTCGCCACTCAGCCTACATAGCACGACTCTTTGCCTCGTCGTACACCTCTTACGACGGCTACCGCAACGGAGGTTACGACACCAGCTCTGGCTATGATGGCAACGGCTATGGCGGCGGAGGTTATGACAGCGGCCTCTCAGACTATGACTACGGCGGCGGACGTGGAGGTTACTACCGCGGCACCTCGGGCTATGACTACGGCGGCCTAGGTTACCACTACTACCTCTTAGGCTATGACTATGGCATGAGCGGCGGAGGAGGTTACGGCATCGGCTTTGGCTATCGCTACGGTGGCGGCGGAGGCTACGGCGGCATCTCAGACTATGGATATCGCTACGGCCGCAACGGAGGTCATTACTCTGACTTTGACTACGGCGTCCTTGGAGATCGTTACGACGGCAGCTCTGGCAATAGCTACGGTTATTTGTTCATCGCATAGGGGTGTGGTGCTTGGTATCGTTTCATCGCAGTAGAGTAATAGTAGTTGGTAATTGCTGTTTGGATCTATATTTTGTTACGTAGTATTATTATATCTTGTCAGAAAGAATTAAACTATTAGTTATATTAAGTGTGTTGCTGAACTCTTGAACTTATTTGCTACTTCTCCGTTGCTATGAAATCCTATGTGACAGTTTGATACTTCCTTTCTTACACGTATAGCACTTACTTCCTCCGCTTAAGAATTAGTCTAGAGATATAGATCCGTTTAAGCATCAACTAATTCAAGATGGAGGGAGTAATATATAACCCAAGTCCCAACTAATAGAAGATTAGCATAGCCTAAGCGCGCGGCGCCCATTGCCCATAGAAGCGCCCATCATTAAATTAGATGTTGACAATATTGGAGGATTTATATAAAGGTAATGGTCGCTGCGCCCCTCTGGATTTTTGTTATATGAAGAGAAACTAGTGTTGTTGTTGTAGAAAATAAAGTTAGCTAAATCTCAACGGCTGGCTTCATAACATCTCACCAGATTCAGATTTAGCAAACTTTAGTTGGGTTGCATGACAGTGCAACATAAAAATTGTTGCATTGGCATATCCAGATGCGCATAATGCATTAAGTTATATTTTCATGAATAGTGATAATGGCACACCAGTTAACAAATGCTCACTTAAATAACAAAGCAAGGTTCTTAGCTCTAAGAACATCCGTATATGGGCAATTTCAGTCCCTCCTACGGTCTTGTTAAGAAGCCTTCAAGTCTCATACACCAGTCATGTAAAACTGCAAAAAGAACACGCAGACCAACATCAAGCAACCTTTTCAGCCTACCATTAGTGAACTTTGGACTTCCAGTGGAAAATCCAGTGAAAAGCAGCTAGAGATATGCAGATCAATGTACTCTTTCCAAGACTAAATTGTCCAGGGAAGAGAAAAATAGCCTTTCATGTACGTATTAATTATGTTATAAATCTTCTAGTAAAAGAACTTGTACTCTTTTTTTCATATACTCCCCCCACACTAGGTGAGCGGGTGGTGTGGGGGTGAAGAGAAGAAGAACAACACAACCAGCATGAGGAGCACCCAAAAGGCTAGAACCAAAACCAAAAACAGAACATGGCAGGCCACAGCAGCATCCCACAAACTAGCAACCGTCACTCAGGCGCAAAACAGAACGTGAACCCTCCTCGGTTTGCCATGATAGAGTTAGTTTCAAGAGCCACACAGATATCTTCAGGCGACTGGCGATGCCAGGTCCCCTTACTGAATTTTTTGTTCATCTTCAGAGCTTGATGCAGCTTCGCGGCTTCTGGGCGCAAGTGCCTGGAGAATCTCACCTCCATCCACCAACGCCTGTTTGTCCTCCGGCGAATGGAAACCTTCCAACTATTTCAGGAACACACAGTCCGTATAACAAACATACCAGTTCAGCAGGGGAACGAATCCCCTTCCATTCGAAACGAGCATTATTTCTAATTTTCAGAAGAGCCAAGCACACAGCTGCACTCCAGTAAGGATATATGACAGAATTTTGTCGGAAGTCTATAACCAACGATGTGATAATGAAAGTACCAGAATGTGAAGCGTAAAATGGATTTAAAATAGTATGAGAACAGTTACATGGTATCCTTTCCGAAAAAGTTCAGTCTTGCCATGGAACTTCATAAATTAAAGAAAGTAACATCTAATGCAAACATGAGATTAAGCAGCCTAACTACCGAAGCTACTAGCAGCTAACTACAGATGAACACGAACATGCAAAGTTCTAAAAGAAGCTTACTCTTTCAGCACCACCATCATAGCACACTACGTATCGCTGTAGTTTCCAAAACCAAGGAAGTCCATCGCATTGTTCCCACAAGCAAACAGAGTCAAGATCAATTCTGCCAATCAGAAACCCTTTTGCACTCAACCGCAGCATCGCACTACTGGGTTGGTGATCATAGGACGGAGAGGTGTGTTAGTAATAGGACGTTGCAAATTTATCTCATCCAATCTCGACTACACACAAGTGCTTCAATCGTCTCGATGCTCAGTGTGCTCTGGTGCTTTGGAATTACTGGCCTGCTGCTACTGAATGCTGCTTCAGATTGAACAGCAAATGCCGGCATCGCTAAGACGTCCCGGGCAATAGCAGCAAGTGTGGGGTACTTTGTGGTGTGTTCCATCCACCATTTAAGAATGTCAAAATCGTCTTTTCTTGGGACTAGAACCTCCCCAAGGTAGTCATCAAGTTCTGAAGACATCTGGCAATTGAGGTGCTCATCCCAATCTTCCAAAGGATCATTATCAGCTGTATCCAGAGCTGCACTCCTTAAAAGACGGACGCCACTCAGCTGCTCTGTAGCATTGTAGTATTCATCGAAGAGTTCCTGGACCGTATCATGTATTTCAGATAAGTAGCCCAGCGAGTCTGTGCTGTAAGCCCGTTGCAGGCGAAATTGAATGAAGCTCATCTTGAATCTTGGATCTAACACGACAGGTATTGACAGCCACACGTATGAGTTTTGCCAATACTCATCGAACGCTTCCTGCATCTCCATGACCAGAGTCACAATCTCTGCGTGATCGTTTGATGCTTCTTCTTGCAGAACTGTCCTCACTTTCCATACCTCACTGAAGTATACATTTGCTGTCGGAGAGCTAGGGCTAGAAATTACTTCGATAACACGATAAAATGTCCTCAAAATCTTGCAAATAGGCCAAGTAGCTGTCATATCTTCTGGAGACAGCACTTCTGCAGCAGGAAACAACTTGTTGAATTGCAGCACAACTTCAAGCCTAAAATATAACTTGTGCCACCACTTGGCATCTTCTTGCGGACATTTCAAACTCATCTGTGAAATAACTTCCAGAAGCTGCTGTTGCATCGATGATGAAGATGCACATGCCCCAAAAAAGTCCTTTACTATGTCACCAACAAGGAAAAGTATATATGATCGTCCATCAGAAACAACACTGTTTAGCATATCATCCACACAAGCAATGTTGTACAGCTTGCCTCTGATGGGAAGGCACCTCTTCTTTATGAGCATCTCCTTGAGCTTCAAGGTATTTGCATCATTCTTAATTTCACCAACTGAAGTCAAGCTCAAAATCTTCTGCTCAAGATTCCAGTCTCTGATTGCATCCCATATGACATTGTATGATCCACTTTCCGACTCTGGAACACAAGCCTCCTTGCAGTGTATTATCCTTTCCAAATTAGTAGGTGAATACATGCCGAATTTGATTACTAATCTGTGAATTTTCCAGTCTTCAGTAATAAAATGTGCTGTCAAACAGAGGTAATTTACTGTCGGCTCAGGTCCATCATGAGTCCAGATGCTTGCTGACAGTGAGATACGCTGGGAGGTAAGTGCAATTTCATCCTTGACGTTTATCTTCTTCTTCTGAAACAGAGCAAGTAAATGTTCTTCCATATCACTAAGAGAGACTTTGTTAGTCATGGGACTGATGTTCTTCAAAATTCTTCTCATATCTTCATTCTCTACAATTGACAAAGGATAACCATGCAAAGTTATCAATCTGGCGATATCTTGATAAGGTGAATCTTGACCAAACTTTCTGGTGCTTATCGCAGTTGCATTAGTCATAGACGAGGTCTTCTGTTTCTTCAGCCCTGTACCATCTGGTGCTGGTAGGGATAGATGATCTGCCACCACTTGAATGGGCCGATAGGTGATGCCACTGGAGCTGCTAGCCCTGCGGAGCTTGCTAGAGCATTTTGTACCACCTGGTGCTTGTAGGGATAGATGATCTGCCACCACTTGAATGGGCTGATAGGTGATGACACTGGAGCTGCTAGCCCTGCGGAGCTTGCTAGAGCATTTTGTGATTTGAGCTTTCCTGGCAGGCGAAGACTCGTCTCGCACCCTGGACTTTAATTTAGGTAGACTAGAACGGTTACCCTTATGATGACTTTGGTCATGCCCATGTCGTTTTGAACAGGCTAGAGCATGTCGATTCAGATGGCCTCCGTGTTTGCTGAGGCGCTTGTGGCAATGGATGCATTCTGCACCCTGCAGTTTCCCCTCAACGAAGATGGGTGTGAAACCCTCCCATATTTTTGACCTCCATTTTAGGGGACTTACTGAGCTTATGTCGTCGATCGTCACTGCAAAAATTTCATCAACAAAAACATGTGATGAAACTGGATTAATTTGATTCACCAAAACCTTGTATACAATACGAATAGATACTTTGTGCCAGAGTTCAATTATCTTAATAAAGGAATATCTGTGTATCCGGATCTTAAACTACACACCGCTAACTAACAAATCACAATTATTAAAGTTGACTGGACACCGTTAGCTAGGTAATGAATGGAACCTCGATATGCAAAAATGGACATTCCATTTGGGAAGTAGGAATCTACTACTACTAAAGTGTGGTCTACACACTGAGCCAAGTAGAAGGTAATGGCATGGAGCCTCAATAGGCAAAAATGAACATACCAATTGGGAGGCAGGAATCCTGTGGCGACATCCACTCCGTCACTTCGGCCGACGTCGATTCCGGTTTGGCTGGGCAGGTTTTCAGATGCCGGCGCAGAAAGATATTCCCATTGTAGCCGAGGCGGTTGTGGCAGTGGAGGCAGTCTGCAAACTGAACCTTCCCATTCAGATAGATCGGCTGGAACTCCTCCCAGATCGGCTGCAACTCCTCCGGCGCCACCTTGGACTGATTCTTGAGCCTTTTTCTGGGCGAGATGTGAGCACCATCAAATTTAACCATCGCCTTCATGCTGACATCCTTCTCATGCTTACCAGGATTCCCCATAGCTTCACAGCAACTCAGTCAAGTATGAAAAGAACACACATATCAGTCCAAGAAGATGGCTTCACATAACCTCAGTAAGTATGTAAGATGAAATCCATATATTTCCAAGAAGAAACCCTACATCGATCTGAGTACATGACATCCTCCATAATTTCAAGACCATAAGGACACACAGACACACATACATATGCTTCTTGCCCGGCCGTCCGCCAAAATAAAAAACACATATTTGTGGATTCAGTCTCCCGGCCTAAAACCTAGATTACCGAGCGCGAGCGCCCAACACTACCACAATCCGAAGCATCCTGCTAAGCGGAAACTTCTTCCAGGCACGAAATGTCACAGAACTCGACCAAAAATGGCACCTTTTGCTCCGTATGTAATGTAGCAGAGCACAGCGCGCGGGGGTTTCTTGAGCAGCGCGAGGGGAAACAGAGCAAGGGGGAAAGCAGAGCAGAGCGACGGCGGGCTAACCTGAACCGCCGGGAAGCGATCGCCGACGCATGGTGTGTGGTCCCGCCGGAAAACCGCCGCTCCTCGGCGGGCTCGCCGGGCGCTTCCCCCCAATCTTTCCCTCCCTCCTTCGGTGGCGAGAATGGGCTTCCGCTTCCTGGAGGAGGAACCACCTACCCCTAAGACGAGATGCGTGCACTGGGCTGGGCTTCTTGGTGGGTCGGCCCTGCTAAAACCCAGATAATCTATTGGTTCGGCCTGGATTCAAGGCTGGATGGGCTTATATTGGGTCAATCTCATTCTGTCTTCTTGATTTCAGCTCTTATTCTGTCCTTGTCTCAAAAAAAAAGCTCTTATTTTGTCCTTCCAAAAGAAACTCTTATTCTGGGCTTCCACTCACAGGTCCTTCTACATCACTATCTACCATTATTATTTCTAAAACCAGATCACTTATTTTGGGATGGATGGAGTAAGTCGTATGTCAGGGTTTACTCAGAGAACTGCAGCCGCCACCGGAGAAATTCCTGTCCCTTCACCTTCTGCCATCTCGGCGTTGAGAGATGGAGGACCTCGAATCTTTAAGAGTTATGTTTTCTTCGTCAACATCTAGTGGTGATCATAGTTTTGTGCGAATAAAGTTACTCTTTTATTTTATTTGGCAAATTCGATTATACAGATCTAATGAGTTTATGTTATTGTGTCAAGTTGTTTTTGCTGGTTTGATTATTTGTGAAGTTGGAATCTTACATCGACATTGTGACTTGATAGTGTGCAATTTTGGTGGATCGTCTCTGGCCAAGTACGTTATCACTCAAGGTTTTTCATCTTTTTGGATGGACGACTGAATGGGCTTTCAAAAACCTTTATTAGCAATCAAGTCCGTGTGGATGAAAAAGTGACAGTGTCGTTTTACCAAAGTCTTGCGGAGACTGATAGCATAACAAAGATAATTTTAAAAGATTATATTGTAATTCTTAATCATAAAAGGTACTTTATTTATTTATTTTGGATATTAGATCCAAATCAATGTATTTGTAATAGACTAATAGTTATGGGCATGATTTTTTGGATGCCTCAGTTTGATTTAGTACACACAAGTTTTCTATCATGATTAACATTCTTCCATTGTTTTCTGAAAGGTCAGGGGTGTTTGGCCCATGAACATCTTCCGTTAACCCCATGTTTAGGTATCATCAGATAAGGCGCTTAGATTATTTGCCACACTATCAAGATTTAGGCCCGGTGTCACTCTGCTCCACAACTCCGCTCCCGAAGCTAGTGAAGCTGTAGTTCAAAATGACGGAGCTGCAATTTCCTCCAGATTCTGGGAGTTGGTGGATTACCAAACATGGTCTTAGATGATTTGCTCCAGGGTTATTTGCCACAGGTACTGACTTACAGGGCCCCGTCAATCTTGAGAGGGGTGGGGTGATCATCAAATGGGAAAGTAAAGTGTGGGTTAAGTCTAATTTCACGTAGAGGCCAGCAAGAGCTTCATTTCTAGGCCGCCTCAAAACCCCGGTGACGCCGATGTCGCCGACTGTTTGAACTTTGATCGGCAGGCCGCTCAGTCATAGCCAGCCGCCATGCCCCACATGGCGATTTGGCTGCAAGTTCAGTGACAATGTGATATCGAGCCATTGCATGTACACATTAATTTGGTCCCTGTACAAATACATGCTCTGCTGTGCGTGTGATTCGGTCGTCTAATCTGGGATTTTCTTATTACCGGCAGCACAATGAAAGACATCACAAGAGTTACCCTTAATGAAAGGCAACTCCTGTGAAGCTTAAATTCCACATCAATGCCTGGGTTTATTTCGACATACATGAGTCAGCTCGGGTGACTTCACTTCTGCGAGGTGGGCATGGAGAGAGAAACGCGCTGGGGAGACGACTCCTTCCACTGCTGCGTGATGGTCTTGATCTGGGTGAAGAACTGCACGCCCGCCTTGCCTGCGCATCCATGTTTACCGTGTTAATTACTTATGCCCAGATGTGATTGTATTGTAGGTCAGTAATCTGCTGAAGAAGGATCAAATGAGATGATTAGCAGGCGCACCGTAGAAATTCAAGTCTCCGGCGAAGGAAGCTTTGCTACCCGTGAAGGAGAAGAACGGCAGGGGTACCGGGATCGGCACGTTGATACCCACCTACAAAGGAAAGCGATACATTGTGATTCATACGGGCAGTACTCTTCTTGTTTATGTTAACTTCAACTTCAAAATGCTGAATTTCAGGCGCCCATATATATGTGTTTACCTTCAGGTTATATTCCAATATCTAGCAAGAAACAATACACTACTAGGTTTGACATTTTCGCCAAAACGTTTTCAGACCTTGTAATGTAGGAGTACTACCCAACTACTAGCTTACACGATTAGGTAACTAATCCTTCACAAATGCTATGCAGTACCTGGCCAGCTTCAATGTCCGTCTGAAATTTCCTTGCTGAGACACCAGATGTGGTAAAGATGGAAGCCCCATTGCCATACCTGAGGACGATTTGTAAATCATTAAACTGCAACCAATGCTTTGCCTATGAGCTCACAGGAGAGAGAAAAATTACTTGTTTCTGTTTACAATTTGTATGGCATCATCTAGGCTCTCTGCCTGCAATTAATTGATAACACAATCAGCATAATAAAAATTTAATGGTGTCAAGAGAAGTAAACAAGTTTGTTATACCTTCATCAAGAGAAGAACTGGACCAAAAATTTCCTCCTGTTTCAAGTTTTCCAGGTTTCAATCAGATATAACAAGCCAAATGGTCGTCCAATTCTATCTTGGGAAGGAAAAGGTGGGTACTCTTTTTTAAAATAATGTTAAAACTGATGCAAAGTAAACATTATAAAAATACCTGGTAACACTCCATATCACTTTTAACATCAGCCAACACAGTTGGACCAATAAAGTTGCCATCCTCAAATTGAGGAACCTGCACAGCGCATAGCTATCAGGCATAACAGGAATTGCACACAGGCAGTTCAACAACTGAATTCTTAAAATTACCACAATCTCCCTTCCATCCAGCACAAGTCGAGCACCACTGTCAGCGCCACTTTGGACTAACTTGCAGATGCGGTCCTTGGCCTATTGATACCAAACTGTTAGGGCACAAGATTCACCAAGAAAACAAAGGGCTCTAATACCAATCTAGAACTCCCTCCAGTTCCCCAAAAGCAGAAGTTTTGGACATCGACATGGTCTAAAACCACAACTCTGGTCACTGTTTCTCTATATATAAATCCTAACAAAATTATGATATCATGATAGTACTTTTGAAGATAATTCCTAAGTTCTAAACTTCTAATCCAAATACTTGAAAATATAGGTAGACAGAACTTTTAAAGAGTCAAAACGTCAACAATCTGTGAACTGGAGTAAGTGATATGAATCCTGAGGTCACAGAGAAGCCTCCAAAAAGAAAATTGACTATTATATTATCAAGCTAATATTTATGATAATTTATTTCTATGGTCCAAATGTGGGCCCTAGTAGCTTAGGCCCACAACAAAAAACTCAGTTAATCACGAACATGGCAGTGGCATATAGATGTGCTCCAGGCAGAGATTATGACAGGGGAACTACTAGTTACCATTGCAATGACTATGAAGGTAGATCTAAAGCTCATGACGTACAGTCAAACCCCAAAAGCTAATATGTTTCCGGAAAGGCTATACCATATGTCAACAGTTCATCATCACTAAAAACAAGTGTAGCATTTTTTTTCACTGGGATCATACTCCATACAGAGGCTATACGAAGATTACTCACTCAACATTTCATGATTAATTCTTCTAAATAAACTTGAGTGGTTAATAAGTAACTACTGTTCTATCGTCCAATTTTAAACAGGTAATCAAGCAGCCTTTTAGAGATCTAAACTTCATAAGATCTCCTTTTACCCCTTCAATTTAAAAGTTTGAATATCTTCCGACAAAAAAAAAGATCCTAAGTTCAAATATTCAATTTAAAAAAAAATCAGTATGTATCCATAAGTGGGAAAATATGAATAACATGGATACAAAAACGTGTGCTCAAAAAAGCAAACCTGTGTACTGATCACTGGACCAAGGTCAGCATCATTAGCTGTTCCGGAATTAACTACAAGGTTGCTTGCACGTTTGACTAGTTCATCCTCCCTAAAACAAAAGATAAGGTTGACAATGCTTCCCCAAAATCTGACCCAAAAAAAACTTTAGCCTAAAAAATTTGTCTTGGGTAGAAGTCGTAGAACTCTACCATGGTTCTGAACCTCCAACAAAAACAGCAGTGCTCAATGCCATGCACCTTTGCCCAGCTGCACCAAAACCGGCAGCAATAAGGGCATTCAATGTGGCATCTCGATCAGCATCAGGAAGGATAATGGCATGATTCTTTGCACCCATGTTACACTAAAGGAAACAGAAACTGTTATTCTGAATTATACTGCTTAGAATGCAAAAGGCATGGAAAAAAGGTTATTCAGGAAGTCATGATTAGAAGCAAACCCACCTGAACACGCTTCCCACTCGCAGATGCTCTAGAATATATATGCATACCTGCCTGAGAAGGAGAGAGAGATCAGAGATAGCAAACTGCTAGCTAGCTCTGAGCAACATGAGTACAATAGCAATAGGGTTAAAAATCTAATGTAAATGATCAAAAATAGAACTTATAAGTTATAACTGCACATCTCTCTTTTCTTCTGCACATCTTTCAATACAAGAGAACACATGCCATTAACACGCTTCTTCTATCAGTGCAATGATACGCAAGCTTTGCATATTCGCGGAAAAAAAAAACATGCCGTTAACACGAATACATGAACAGCAAGAACACCTGTATTGGCACAAAAAACTCTTATTTGCATCTTGGTAAATGAATTTATTGGTCAGCACAGTAAGCTAATTAAGTTTTGAAACACTATAATAACACATAAAAAGATCTGTCATGTGTGCATGTGATTGAGAATGCATGGATATCCTTGTTTCTAGAGTGAGGTCTGGTTGATGACCCAAGAGCAGAAAACAAATATGTCGATACGTATCGGAAGAGCAGAATATTAGT